CATCTGGTCCCAATATTGTTTCCCCAGCTTGTCTTGGTCTGCTTCTTTTTCTCCACTGTGCCCTGCATTTTGATGTTGGCAAGGGTGTCCGGCCTTCTTTTGATGTGTCCAAATCATTGCAGCTTACATCATTGCACAGCCTCCAACAATGGTTCGTAGGTTCCAATTTCTTAACTGACTTGCTGCTTTACTGATTCATTGGTCCAGTGCTGTGTGTATAGGACACGCAGCAGTCTCTTAAGCAGCGAATTTCAAATGCATCAATTCTGTTCTCTAACTTCTTATTAAGCATCCATGTCTCACAGCTATAAAGCATCGTAGAGATGACCACAGCATGCAGCAGATATAACTTTACCTTCAGTGTAATATTGCTGCTTGTCCATATTTGCTTTAGCCATATTAGTTGGCTGGTGGCAATGGCTATTCTGGTCTTAACTTCCTTTTCAGATGTTAAGTCTTTTGTGATGGTGGCACCCAGTACTTAAAACTTGTTACTTTTTTCTAGTTTTTCATTGCCGATCCTCACATTAGCATTACTGTAATGATCTTGGAGGTTGTCATAATTTTGCTTTTCTCAGCACTTATTTCCATTCCATAGCTCTTTCTGCAGTTTTATCTAGCATTTCTCTAAGTTCTTGAAGCTCTTCAGATATCCCTTCTATCAGGTCAGTGTCATCAGCAAAGCACAAGTTGTTGATCTTCCACTATCCAACTGATACAGGTCCTGTGAAATTCTCTACGGCATCTGACTTGATTTGCTTGAGGAAGAGGTTGAAAAGGCATGGTGAGAGTAGGCAACCTTGGTTCAGTCCTACTGAAGTAGCAGCCCATTTGATGATGTTGTAATTGATCAGCACTCCACTACCTGCATTGCTGTTAAGTTATCTGGGATCTGCTGATATGTTTTTTCATCGTGAGCCAAAGTGCTTTGTGCCACGCCCTATCAAAACATTTCTTAAAGTTTATGTAGTTCTGGTGAAGTTCTTTTTGGTGATCACAGTACGTTTCACACAGTACTTGTATGTTGAAAATTTGCTCTGTGGTACTTCTCCCTGCTCTGAACTCAGCTTGCTCTTCTGCCAGCACAGTTTGTACTTGAGGCTTGAGTCTGGGTGCTGCATCTTACCTTTATTGTTCTGTCAACAAAGATATTCAAGACTGGTGTGTTGGCTACAGAGGACCAACTCACAGGATCATCAAAAAAATCTAGTTTATTGGACGAATGCAAAAGTCAGACCATAAACCTTGGTGCTGATCCCCTCAAACACACACACATATTCACAGTAGCTAGCTCTGAACACTAAGCGCTGGTGTCAAGATACACCTGTCCCCAAGTGCTGGAGTCTGCTGTCGATGGCCAGTCAAGGCTTCTTTCAATGCGATGTTGCTGCAGAAGGGGGTCACGGGCTGGTCCTTCTGGCTGGACAAGCAGGGTGCTGGTCAGGTGCTGGACCCATTGGGGGTCATTCTTCGCTGCCTTTTATCCCTCTCTGGCTTCGGTGACTCCCCCGTTCTTGGGCTTACCCAGTCCAGGGGTCGTTGACCTCGAGGGACATCCCTCTTGGTAGCTGCTGGCTGGCAGCTGGCAGCCCCAGGGGTCACGTCTGCAGGTGTGTGCAGTCTTGGGAGTCCATTGATGAACTTTGATTGCCATGATGAATAGAGCTCTGGAAGTGGTTGATCAGGGGATATTTC